TAACTTTTACATAAATGCTATAACTCTAGTCAAAAGGAAAGAGACGTTATTGACGTTTAAGTTAATATTTATCTAATAACAAATCAATTATTTTTTCAATTGACATTTCGAACTAAATTGTACATGTGATACCTCAAAATAATGTGTCAGCCTATTGGTTAGGTGGGTCAAAGATAAATTGAGAGCCACTAATATTACGGCAGAGTTAAGAAACTTGTTTTAATTAAATTGCAGAATTTAGCACATTCTCGGGATATATAAAAAGATATGATTAAGCGACCGAATTCTTTCAAAGGTACTCAGTGCCTACTTTCCTTTTTTTAATGGATTAAAAAAAAGAATTATGAAAAATTACGATATCGTCTCAGGAACCGTTTAAAATTCCAAGATCTATGGTCCTAGGTGATAATCAGACTCTGAAGACTTAGTGAATGAAAACTATTAGCTAATTGATGAGATCCAATTCATCTTTAGCCTGAGCTTTTAAGGCAATTATTTTATAATTGTTTTCATTTTTCATCAATAAAGAGCGCCAGTAGCTTAACATTCTTCCTGTCATTCTTATCGCCTTGTCTTCTCATATCCTGCCTCCTTTTTTCGTCATTTGCACTTCTGCAGCTGAAGAACAAAGTTTTACATTTAAACCTTCAAAACTAATCCTGAAAATCTATGAATATTATGCCGATTCTTGTTGCTTTAACTCCCAAAGTAGTGCCATAGCTTGTATTCTTTGAAAGAAAGAGTTTATTTATTTATTTATTTTTTTAATTTTATTTGTCCAACTGATATCTTCTGTTACAGACAAAGGCAGATCTATAGGGTACTGCAAAGGGTCACCTCTACATTAAGGAGGTCATAAATATCTTTTCAAATTAAATAAAAAATAACAGTAAGTAAAATAACTCTTACTTTAGACGAGGTGCTCGAAAATTTCAAGTGCAGTAGGTTGCCTGTTTCATAAATCCTCTATTGGTAATAGAATCAAAGATTGAACAATATTGATTAAAATGGGAGATAATAATCCTAAACTTTCTTAAAAAAACCAGTTTTGGTGGCGAAAGTTTGTATTTTGCTTAACAGACAGAAGGAGATTTGCCTCAGCCAAAGAAATTTGCTTTCAGATTTATTTGGTTTATTTGAATACAGCGAAGTATTCCAGGACTGTCTGCCTAAGGCAAGAGATGTCTTCGTTGGGAATTTTCTAAGGAAAACTGACTCGCATCCATGTTACACACAGGGAAAACCACGAAAACGCTTATTCAGCTAGGCCGTTCACTTATATTCGAACCCAGGTCCAACCCAATGGTCAGCGTCTTTATCACTCACCTTCTAGTGGTCAATTTACATTTGGCAATTTTAAGGAAAGACAGTATTGGAGATTTTTTTATTAGCGAGTAATGATTCACAAAGAATTTTCGCTTATAAAGGGAGGTAGTAGATTTTATATGCTCTACAGGAAAGCAATAGACCTAACTTCTAAATAGATTTCATCACGCTTGGTTAGAAAACACTGAATCAGATAACGGAATTTCATTATCTCTTTCCACAATGCAATAGTCAAGCTTTTAATTGCGATGAAAAATGGAACTTTTACTAACGAACCGCTTATTCACTTGAGGTGGAAGCTTGCGAACTACTTTCTGTTTCTTAAAATGAAATCTTACGTTAACAGATAAAATTTTGAAGACTATTTTAAAAATTCAGGAAAGCATAACAAGAGAATGATAGAACATAACAACCGGCTTCTGCAAAAGCATCCAGAAACTCCATATCGAGAGTGGGCATAATGTATATAGAAGACTAAGCAATGCGAAAAAGCTGTTTTCCCAAATACTAGTTTTTATGAAGCGAGCAGTAAAACTTTGTAGGCATACTGTGTATTTACTTCTCTTTCACGTTCGTAAACTTATCGTCCTGCTTTTACTACTTTGAAATAAGTGATGTCACGAGCTCGTGACTCAATTTCAAGAAGTAGTGACTATATATACATTATTTCTCAAAATCGAATCATATCATAACATTTTGAAAGTGGAATGTCAATATGTTACTGTAAAGCAGTTTGCGTTATCTTTTCTTTTATCATTCCGCTTGTTAAGTACAAAAGTCAATTTGTCCCTTCGGAATTGGAATACTGATTGAGAGAAAAGCAGGACTTTAAAATGGGTAAAAATAAATTGTTAATAAATGGCCTGACATTTTATCACATTTATTTGAAATTACACAACTTATATCTCTTTGATACCGATAATTGCTAAAATTTTCATAACATAAATTTCCAATATATTGCGATGAAAAGTACGTCAGACAGTAACAATACTTTAATCTCTGAATTTTTATATTATTTATTACAAATCAGAAATGCACGTCTTTCTTCTTCTTCTTCTTCTTTTTTTTTTTTTTTTAAATCAGTAGTTATCTATTTCGATATTTCGTCATTAGTTATATTTTAAATTTCCAGGTGATAATCAGTATCCAAGGTGCAAATCTAAATAAATCATTATTTCACTTTTTTAAATCAAAAAAAATTTTACATGTAATTACTATAATCGACCTTCTTAAAAGCTTTTTTTATTTTCTTTCTTTACTTATTAATTCTTGTATACTCATTTAAACAGAAATTTTCTAAAACGGCCAAAAACGGAGTCTTATCAAAGTAAACACTTTCGAGTCCATATTATAATGCATCTTGTAATTTTACTAAATGATCTAAAAAGATAGCTTCAGGTTTTATTACTCTAAATACTGACTTAGAGCATGCGCTTTCTATTAGAACTTAAATTTAATCGGCTCCAGGGATGGAAGAATTCTGTAAATACAAAATGTAAATTTTTAATGGTATTCGTTGAAAAAAATTTTCTAATTAATGAAACATTCATTATAGTTCAATAAGTATGAAATAAAATTATTCAGTACATTTACGCATGAAATTTCTAGAGATATATGTTATTAATATTTCCATAGTGCCAACTGCATATAAACTTAATAACGAATGTTGTTTCACCAAAGTGGAACTGATAAACGACGAAATGAGCATTTTTTTAAAGTTACTTCCTAAATTTGATCTGAAGATTTTGAATTTCATATAAAGGTTTAAAACGAATAGGGCACACTGAAATTAAAATCTTTGTGAGTTTTTCACTTAAAGTTTTGGAAGTTTTTGCTTTTAATTAATTAAAGCAAAGTAAATACCTCACTAACTGGTATTTTTGCTTTGTGGGAATCATATAGCAAGTCTCCGTCCTACTGAAAGTGTAAAATTCTCTACGAAGTTGTAAAAAAATTTAGAAGTACATTTTTAGTATAAAAATTTGATTTTACAAAATATTTACCAACGTAACACCTCTTTCTTCAAAACCATATTACGCAGATATGTTATGATTCTTACCAGCAAAAAAATGCGACTCGAAACATATTTATGAGTGCCGGCATCTTCTAATTTCTCTTGCCGGCTACATTACAATGGCTACTGGCTCATTGTCGAATATAGAAAAATGAGAATCAGATTTCCTGGGATGAAAGGAAGAACTGCCCTCTAGAAACCGAGATATTTAATGATCTTTACTTCTATTAAAAGGCTGTTAAACATGGAATTAAGACAAGTTCATAATTCAACATGTTAAAACCAATGTAAAGGTTTGGAAGTATCTTCTAAACAAGGAATGTATTGTATGATATTCTCTTTGTGCTACAGTTGTGGCATCTTTCCCTCTTTTAACGAGATATATGATTGCCCTAATGCTCATATAAATTGCGTTAGACTCAGAAATCCTTCTCTATGTTATTTTGGACACTCTATGGACAAAGAACATTTAAACACATGCTTTGCATTTGAAAGTTTAATTATGTAACCTGTAACCTAGAAGTAATGGGAGGCAAAATGGTTAATGGCTTAGGTTTCATCAACTCGAAAAGCAGTTGTAAATAATATTAAATAAATACTTAAGAAATAAATTAATAGAAAGGCTACTGAAATGTGATGGCTTACAGAATGGTGACTTCTCCTGGAAATTAACTGAAAAAATAATTGAGGATACTGCAAGGAAAGTTATACCAAAACTGAAAGGGAATAAACGACATGAATCGTATGATTGTGATTGTGCAAAATTACTGAGGAGAAAAACAAAGCTTATAAACTTTCAAAAACACTAGAGAGGAGTAGAAGCAAATTATAAAGAGTTGAGAAGAAAAAAAACTGTTTCGTATTTGGAGGAACGAGTTAGTGAGGATTGAGAAATCGAGAAAATTTTACCAGAAAAGCAATGCTCTATCTTGCTTTGCCTACTCCGGGATTATTACTTCTAGAAAAGATGATAGCGAGCTTAGAATCGATCGAGTTGAAGTGCGAAAAAGACAGAGAGAGTTCTTTAGAGCAGCGGTTCCCAACCGCTGTTCCGCGGCACACCGGTGTGCCGTCTGAAGCACCGTGGTGTGCCGCCGGGTCTGGGTGTCATGGTGCTGTTCGCCCGCTATAACTCCTCCCGTCACTCCCCCCGCCAGTGTCATAGGTGGTCACGGCGCTGTGCAGTGCTATAACTCCTCCCCCTGCCAATCTTGACAAGTGTCCGCCGTGTCCCCGCCCCCATGAGACGCAGGCAGACGCCTCACACAGTGTCAGAGAGACAACAGCTGCTTTGAGGAGAGAGACACTGATACTGCAGTGATGGACAAGTTTTTGAAAAGGAAAGAACTGGACTCTGAACAAAATCTGGAGTCAGATGAGAGCCCGAGTATGAGTGGGGGTCAAAAGAAAGCAAAGATGGTTAAATTCTCTGGCGCAAGGCAATATAGCGAAAGCTATATTTCAGTTGGATTTACTTTCACTGGAGATGAACACAAACCAACTCCACTGTGCGTGGTGTGTGGTGAAAAGCTAGCTAACAGTGCTATGGTCCCAAGCAAACTTAAACGCCATCTCCAAACGAAACACCCTTTGCTTCAAAACAAGAATGTGGACTATTTGTTCGCCTGCGTGACAACATGAGAAAAACAGGGCAACTTTTATGAGAAAAACAACAAAGGTAAATGAAAGAGCTCTTAAAGCTAGCTATCAAGTTGCTGAACTTATAGCCAAGACAAAAAAGTCGCACACTGTGGCAGAGACATTAATACTTCCTGCCTGCAAAGCTATTGTAGAGGAGATGCTCGGACCTGAAGCAGCAAAGGAAATAGCCAAAGTCCCTCTCTCAAACAACACAATTTCCAGACGTATTAATGACATGTCTGCAGACATCGAAAGTGTGGTTTTGGAAAAGATCCGTATCAGTGAGAAATTTGCATTGCAACTTGACGAGTCTACTGATATCAGTGGACATGCTCAACTCTTAGCTAATGTGCGTTTATTGATGGTGATGCAATTAGAGAAAACTTCTTTTTTTGCAAGGTATTGCCAGAAAGAAAAAACAACAGGAGAAGAAATTTTTCGGGTCACATCAGAATACCTTGAACAAGGAGGACTTAAGTGGGAAAACTCCACAAGTGTCTGCACCGATGGAGCTGCAGCCATGGTCGGGCGCACCAAAGGCTTTGTAAGCAGAGTGAAGGAAAGAAATCCAGATGTGATTATTACGCATTGTTTTTTACACCGCGAGGCCCTCGTAGCCATGTTGTGCGCATGGTAAACATTGTAAAGTCACGACCCATGAAAAGTCGCATATTTGCAGCTTTGTGTGAGGAGATGGGAGCAAAGCATAAAACCTTGCTGTTTCATATGGAGGTCCGGTGGTTGTCGCGTGGCAAGGTCTTGGTTCGTGTGTATGAGCTGCGGGAGGAACTTAAAGTGTTTCTGACAAATGAGGGGTCAGATTACGCAAAGCAGCTTGCAAGTGATGAGTGGTGTGCAAGGCTGGCATACCTGGCAGATATATTTCATCATCTGAATGAATTGAACACCCGAATGCAAGGCCCGAAATGAAAACCTGCTTACAAGTACAGATAAAATAAATGGATTCCGTTCAAAGGTTGCAACTCTGGCATCAACACGTGGAAAGTGGCAATCTTGAAATGTTCACACTCACCATGCAATGGCCAGGTGTTCACACTGCCGTACTGTGTGAGATAATAGTTAAGCATTTAAAAACTCTTGAGGAGAAGTTGTCATTTTATTTCTCTTCAGTCTCCACTGAATGCCTTAACTGGGTTAGGGACCCTTACAGCTCAGCATCAGTGTTGGAAAGGGAAATGACTTTACAGGAGCAGGAGGAACTAATTGAACTGAGACAAAATCGTGGTTGCAAGCTAAGATTTGCTGATCTACCTTTGGACAGTTTTTGGTTGGATACTGCCAAGGAGTTCCCCCTTCTGGCAAACAAAGCTATTTTGACATTGCTCCCTTTTTCCACTACATATCTGTGTGAGATTAGCTTTTTAAGCGTGATTGCTATGAAAACCAAATACAGAGAGAGACTGAGAACTGTTGACGAAGAGCTACGTGTGTGTCTTTCTTCGATTCCAGCCAGAATATCAGCTTTGTGTTCAGCCAAACAGGCCCAGGTTTCGCACTGAAAGTATTTTATAATTTTTTCACTATTCTGTTTACTTATATTTCATAATAAAGTAATTATAAAATACTTTCTTTGTGCTTATTTGATTCCTATTCAAGAGAATTACTTTATTATAATCAATATAGGCACAGAGTTAATTTTAACATTTTCTAATGGTGGTGTGCCTCGTGATTTTTTTCCCCGCGACAAGTGTGCCTTGGCCAAAAAAGGTTGGGAAACGCTGCTTTAGAGATCTCTGTGAAGGTGATCTTCTACGGGATGAAGCTGATCTAAATATCGACCTGAATGTTGTTGAAAATGATCGAACTCTGGAACTTGATGCACCATCCTTATTTGAAGTGACAAAAGCTGTTGAGAATTTAATAACAACAGAGCTGCAGGACCAGATGGTATTAAGGCAGAACTTATTAATATTCACCTACCTGAACTGATTGATGCTTTTGGACTACGAAGCAGATGGCCATTGAATGGGAAAAGAGTTCCATATATTCCATTTCTAAAAAAGGAGACAATGTGGAATGTAACAACTATCGAGGAGTCACCCTTTTAAATGTAGCGTTTAAAATCTTCTCCCATATTTTATATAATAGGTTATTACCGTATGCATCTTCAGTTATTGGTAGCTACTGATGTGGATTTCAAGCTGGAAAATTTTCTATTCTTCAAATTCATTCTGTTAGACAAATAACTATGGAAAAAAAATTGAACATAATATTGATTCCTTTCGTCTTTTTATAGATTTTAAAACTGCTTATGATAGCGTATACAATGAAAATCTGTTTGAAGCTATGCTGGAATTCGAATTCCCTAGAAAATTGATTGATCTCTCTAGAATAACTTTAGAGAGAGTAAATTGCAGAGTTTAAATCATGTCTGATCTATCAGAGGCATTCTATACTGAAAGCGGGCTGAGACAAGGTGATGCCCTTACATTCATGTTTTTTAATATCGTCCTTGAAAAGGCTATTAGAGATGCCGGAATTATAACTAGAGGCACCATACTTCAGAGATCTATACAGTTACTAGCGTACGTTAATCGACATTACTGGCAGAAGTAAACCGGCGGCTGTGAAGACTTTTATTTCTCTAGTGTCTGCAGCTATAGACATTGGATTAACCATTCATGAGTGTAAAACAAAATGTATGATAGTAACTAGTAGAGCACATAAACCTCTCACTGAAAATAAATTCCTATACTTTCGAAGACGTTTCTCAGTTTACGTATCTCGGTACTATCATCTCCAATGATAACAATATTAAACTTGAAACTGACTATAGATTATTTAGAGCTAATACATGTTATTATAGTTTAAAGGAACTCTTAAACTTCTAGACAAAAATAACTCTTTATACAACTCTTATTAGACCTATCATATTGTATGGTAGTGAATGCTGGCCATTAAAAAAACAGATGAAGAAAGACTTCTAATCTTTGAAAGAAAAATATATGGCTCAGTTAGAGAAAATAATAGATGGAGAATTTTGTAACCATGAAATATATAAAAGATACAAACAACCTAATACTGTTGAGTCATCAAATAGTATCGTATCAGGTGGCTTGAACATATCTTTAGATGTGACAACTTGAACCATGTTGAAAAGGTGACATTTGCAAGTGTAGAGGGTACCAGGAAAAGAGGAAGACCTCGCACAGGACGGATACATTTTGTGAAGGCAGATCTCAAGACTTTAAAAATCAGTCGTTGGCGGACCGTAGCGACTAATCGGATCCGTTGGGAAAAGCTTATTGATACGGCCTTGGCTTGTGATAGGCTGTAGTGCAATTGGAGAAGAAGAAATATTTAAGAACAGAAAGCCTATAAGGTATTTCTCCCGCCTTCTTAGCATGCCTTCATCGAGTAGTAGTCAGCACGCACTCCATGGTGCGAGTCTAGGCGAGCGCATTGCTCATTTTTCACATCTCTTGCTCTAAAAATAACGTAATGTCTCTACAAACCTGTTGCTATATCTTTTGAAGACGGGCAGCTCCAGGTTTTAGATGATCGTCTCTTTTGATCTTTCCTTTTAAATCAGTTCCTATATTCAACACGTAATTTTATCTTTCAGCTGATTTCGTCCTGTCTTATACGCTTATACTGATTTGCTTGCTTATTTTGCTGAATTAGCATCCGCAAAGGCTACATGAAATATCCATAGCGTATGCATCCACAAGGACTACATGAAACATTACTGGGTTTTTGACAAATAAAAAGGTTTCAACAGCATTCTGATCCTTGTATGTGATATTTGCAATTTAAGTTTTACTAGCGATTAAATTTATATATATTTTTTTCTATAAGCCTTTTCTCGTCACAATATTCATTCAGACCGGAGGATTGTATAAATTTTAAGGGAAGCGGTTTAGTTTAAGACTAGGAAGTTGCCTTAAATAGTGATATAAATTAGCGAATACAAGCGACGCGGCTGCTTAGAGGCTCAAGGTCTTAAATAGCCCTTAGATATTCTACTGGACTTGTCATTTTTAAATTTTAAATTTAGAGAAGAAATAGAAACATACTGGAATTTTTGCTTTCATAAAAAAATATGCATAATATTTTTACTTTCTTGTACGAAGTAAAGTGTTAAGTGTTACAACAGTGTTAAGTGTTGCCATACATTTTTTTTATATCCGCTAAATTATCTCTTTAAAGATTAGCTGCATGTGCGTCCAGCTGCCTAAATTAGTTATCATACGAAAGAAAAAGTATATAATGATTTCCATGAAGCCTGCTAGTGTAATTTCATAAAAATATTGAATATTTCTTGTTAGATCTTCCCTGATTTAATGCATTTTTATTTAAATCAGCAGTATTAAAATAAGAAAAATTATTTTTAAGAGCTTTGCTTATTGCTTTTAAATCGTTTAGATTGTTAATCACATAGCTACAGTACTATTAATAGATGGAGCATGTTGTAAAATTAGTAAGCTGAAACAAATAGGTACTTTCTGGTACCGCACACGTGTCTTAGTGCATGTGAATTTGCAGACTTTATGCTTAACTGAACAGTAGCTATAGCTGTAAAAATATAAATATCTGGAGTATATATATATTTTTTCGTAAATTTCTTTTTTCTTAAAAATGCTTTTATTATTATTATTTAGGAACAGAATAAATAAAAATTATAAGATATAAAGATAGCCTAACAAATATTTCTCATCAGTTCGTAAAGTGCCAATGAGCTAAAAACTTTTCGTGGGGGCGCGAACAATCAGAAAACGCCAATGAAGATATAACAATTATCTGAATTTTTTTTTAAAAAAAGCTGTAATTTTGCCTCAACTTATTTTATTTTTTAACATACATATTTCTTATTCAATATTTATAGTATTGTATATCTTTTCCATGTTTCGGTAATTTTAATTACGTGATATAGAAAAAGACCTTAAAAATCACCCATGATGTTACTGATGCTCAGCTTTAAAGCAACAATATGTATTGTGTAACAATTGTTATAGTTGTCAGTGGCCTTTTGCTACTCTTATGTCTGTTGCGAACTTTCTGACTGAAATCAGGATTTATCGCAAAATGCATGTCTTGTTATTTATTATTATATCTATGGTTGGTCAGTAACCTTCCAGATTGAATTGAAAAGTTAAATATCATAGGTTTTACTGAATGGCAACACTCTGGTAGATGGAAAATAAAAGTATTTTATTTCCGGCAGTAGAGACCAAGTAGCCCAGTTTGTTAATTTTAACTGAAAGGTAAACATCTTACATTTTTCCAAATGGAAACAGTCTCGCGCACTGCAGATATAAAATGTTTTATTTCGACTAGCATTTCCAATGCTCGCTTTCAAATCGCTGAGTTTGTTAATCAAAAATCCATTAAATTTGTCCAAAATATGAAATAAATAAAAATATTTGAAATTCAAAATTCGGATTTTCAGGTGCAGAAGTTCAGGTGGTGTATTCAAATTATTGCAATTCAAAATTGTTATTCAATACTACGTGTATTCAAAATTTGATGGGTCTAGGTGCTCTCATTTTTCTACAATGCGAGGAACATACATACATACATATTCTTCATTATTTAGTTTTTTTTAAATGAGACATGGCGATAATATTTGATGGCAACAATACGGAATGTTGTTCGGACAAAAATCGAAAACTAGTA